ACAAAGTTACAATGCCATTTTTGTAACTCGATGAAATAAAAACTACTGGCTGTGTTATTCTGTATAAATTATGAAACTTCAGGACGTATTATTTTTTTCCAACAGTTCAGCTGTAGCGGTTGAAGTATTTCACAACACTAATAGATCTAGTAATAGAGCTTTCCGTAAAAAATGCATAGATCTACAAAAGCCGAACCACCGAATCGACCTGTCAGCGACCCGGGCACCCCGCTCTCCCCTGCACACTGTGATAACGTGTTGCTTCGGTATAATTATTCAACTATTAATACGTGCGGCCATGGCAATTGGGATGTACTGACTGACAAAGCGATTCACATTTTTGTTTTTATTTTTACCATATATTTGCAGGTGATAGCTAGATCTAGATTCCCTGTCTAGAATCAGTAGTAGCAGGCCTATGCTAGAAGCAGCCAGAGAGCCTACAACTGCTAGATCTGGATCTAACTCATTGCTATGCCTATTTGGGCTTTGGAATTGAAATAAAACGAATTACACAGTTCTAGTTAATTTTAGATTCAGCAACTATCTGTATTTCCAGAGTTAATAATAACAAATCTCACCATAACAATCACTTTTACTTTTATTAGAATAATTAGATCCAACTTTTTTTTTTCTAAAATCTGTTTTGCGCAAACTTAAGACTTTCTCTACATGTAGAGCACAGAATTTACATTGTAAGCCTCTGCTCAGTCTTTTACTTTTAAGTATATAATATACATAATAAAATACACTAACACACTATTACATTTACTCTCTCTCTCTCTCTAGATCTCTCTCTCACCACAACCACACACAAAACAAACACATACACACAACTTTTACCCTTGGTCCACTTATCATTTAGTATCATCCTCTATTTTGAAATAATCCCCCGCACTAAATAAAAAGATCAGTAGAATCTCGACCTTCCGAATCCATGGTTAGTTCAAGAAATCTACCATATGATGTGGCCTAAATAAGATAAGGGAGGGGGGTTTAGCTTATTTGGGCCACAGTGTGGCCTAAATAAGGTCACCCTTTTTTATAGACTAAACCTCATACACTTCTAGATCTTTGTATGAACCAAGTACCCGGTATGTACTAAATTTGGTCAAATTTTATGCCTTCATTTAAGAGCTATTACGAAAACCGAGAGTTCCGTTATTTTGTGTCACGCGTGATCATATTATATTTGGTCGATAACTTTATTGTTAACGTACTCATGTGTTGTTACTAGTAAATGTTGTTAATAACATTTGATGAATTTGTATTGTGGGTCATGATTTTTTTAAAGGCTGTGGTGCTTTTTAGCTACCGGTACTCAAATTGTCATAATTTTTAAACAAAAAATGTTAAGCCCCTTATTAATGCACCGGGGATGGGAAGGTTGCAATTTTTTGCATTTTTGAAATAGAAAAATTGCAAGGTAAACTGCCCAGTTTACCTTGCAATTTTTCTATTTCAAAAATGCAATTTTCCGCAGGGCCAGATTATAGCTTAGCTTCTGATCTGGCAGACATTTTCAATTTGAATTTACCTTAAGTTCAGCTGCAGCTGTACACTGTACACAAAAGTCTAATAATTGGTTGCTACTTATTTTTCCCCTGTGCGCGATTATCCTGCAAGACAGAAAGATGAATCAAGACTGGCCACAGTTTGTCTCTCTACCACTAGTCAAGATGGCCATTGGTGTTATCCCGCTATATACCGCCAGCCCTGATGTACTGCCAACTTCATGCTTGTCTACAGGTAGGCGGTATAACCAGGTGTTTGACTGCATTTCTATTTCTAGTCATGTTCATTACAAAGTGTTGAAAAGTAACGGCCAGGAAACTGGCACTTTTTTTTAGTACAGTACAAGTTTTACGGCACTTGTAACACAATAAGGTCATATATAAGTGCCAAAGACTAGAGGTGTTACAAGAGAATAACAAACACAAAAAAGAAGGAGGAGAGATAAGGACCATAAATGTTTGATAGGAAATAAGGAGCGAACCACACCAGAGCACCCGCCAACCACCCGCTGGCACTGCCAGAACCAGGACAAATGTCTAGCCAAACAACAGGAACCAAAGTAAATCTTTGAGTACTGGCACCTTCAATAGCATGCAAAAGATTGTTGCATAAAGATGTCCTCAGCAAGACATTATATCATATATATATATATATATATATATATATATATATATACACAGCAGCTGAAATATATTGAAAAGAGAAACAATTGATAACTGACCACATTTTATTAAGTTGCTGATCAAAACCATTATCAATGATTAATAAAATTGACAAAATTTACGATTTTTGAGAGCATCCGAGCATAGAAATGAGAGGCAAATCATGACCGCCTATATCTGTTCCAGATCTGGCACTCCATGAGGATGATGATGATGGTGATGATTATCTTCATGAATATCATTTTTTTCACAAACACACATACGTACGTATACATGATAGAAACTTTTCACTCTCATCCACTTTAAAGCAACACGACTGACCACACTGGTTGGAATAATTTTGAAAAATTTTGCGTTTAAGCATACATGAATATGATTCCTCTTGGGAATTTGCGTTGTGGAATCTAAATATGGTGTCAGGTTTTTTCAATCAGGTCAGGATTTTTAATATGATACATCGGAATTGTTTCTTTTTTCTCTTTCACTCAACATAAACCCAAAATATCTCACTAATATTTGAGAATCAATACATGTATTTTATGATGTTAAGTCTAAATCATTATGTAACATCTTTTTAAATTCAGGCCAAACCTTTTGTGTGAAAAAAAGACAAGGGTTGCTTTAGAGGTTCTTCTGTATCTTGCATCTATTTCCATCATTGTCTCTTCTGAGCATCCAACATAAATCAGCCATCCTGTGAGGGTCCCATTTCCCTTGATAATTTTTTTCCATGGCCATGATATTCAGATGGAATCTTTCACTATGTTCATCTGAGACAGTACCCAAGCTTGCCACAAAGAAGTCAAAGTTGCTGAGAAGGAAATTAATTGTCAGAGATATCTTTGCCCTGGGTTGAAAAATTCGTATACTATCAGTTCTTCCACTAAAGCTTCTTGGTTTTCATTACAGTCCATGCCGGCTTTAAGCACGGTCATCGGGAGAAAGCTTAAGCGTGCTTAAAGCCGAAGCGTGCTTGAGTGCGAAGTTGACATAATCCAGAGATTTTCATGTAGAACATTTCCCCTTTGTTTGTAAGTAGGCCTACATCGGTCCCGCAAAAGTGTGCACTTTTATTTAGTTTTTGTTCGCTTGTTTGTTTTTTGTTTTGTGGTCGAATGGGAAATGAAAACTTAATTTAGACGGCCAGTTACGATACAGCACACTAGGCCTACACCTACACACTGCCTGTGCGTACCACTGCCCGCTGTGCCACTCATACCACCGCCTTCATCCCACCTCGCGTTTTTTTGGTCATGTGTAGCTTTGCCCTAGGCCTAGGCTAGATCCTATGTCCGCGCGCGCGCGGCTGTGTGCATCTCTCTGCCTTCCTCTCCGCCCGTGTGAGTGTGAGTGTCCATCACTTGCGTTCTTTGCGTTTCTCTTGACACACTCCACTGCTGCGGTGTAAACTGTGTTCCAACTTCGATGGGTCATCATGAAAATATTGACTGTCTTGTAAATGAAGCGTGCTTGAAGCCGAAGTTACCGTGCTTATAAGCCTGTAATTTATATAGCAAAAATTCGGTAAGAGCCGTTTAGCGTGCTTGAGTCTGAAACATGCTTTAAGCCGGTGTGCTTAAAGCCGGCACGGACTGTATTCTGAAAGCTAAGAAAGTTTTAACACAGCTGATTTGTAAAGGCTGACCAGGCCTTTTTCTCGAATCATCTTCTGTCTTCTCCCCAAATGTATCATCACACATGACTCTTGTAATGTCAGCCCCCAAAAAATTGCATTCTTGCAACTTGACATCACCGAGGCATGGGAATCGCTCTAAGAGCGTCTGTGAAATTTTTCATTAAACCAACTTTTGAGTGTAATGCTGGCAGTAGGACACCTTTTGGGGTTAACTAGAGGTATAAAAAGAATATTATCTTAAGCCAGGTTGATATTCTTGCACACAAACCAAACCGTGGAAACCACCTTGCCTGACTTAAATAAATGATGATCAAACCAAATATACATGAATAAATATATGAATCCTGCAAAAATCTGACCTGATAGACAAAAAAAACCCACATTTGGAGTTAGCACATCAATTTCCATCAGAATAACAACTTTCGTTGCTAGGCCTTTTACATTGTTGAACAGTGTCATTAAAAAAATAGGAGACTCTCATAAATAATGCAAACACAGTTTTTCGAACTCAGACCAATATTCAAATTTCATTCACCCTTTCTCACACTCTTTTAATGTATCACTTTTTCTCAGACTGCTACACATTTAATATACAGTAGTCTCCGCCTAAGATCCCGGTGCTCCAGAGCAAGGAAACGCGGGATCTTAGGCGAACCGGGATCTTAACCGACGAACCCAGGAAAGAATCTATGTTGACCCATGTTAAGGCCCACAATCGGTAAAATGGTCTCCCTCCACTCTACAATGAGCTTGGTGGTTTATGGCATATGGCGAGCAAAGAGTGGTGACCTATCACGGTGCATAGTGGCATGAGGCGAGCCATTTTCACTTATTATCCTATCATGAGTCTCAGGATCTACGATTATCCATTTGCCCCGCCTCTTTACCCACCCGGGTTTTGTTTTTCGCATGCGTTTGTTTTTTTTAGCAAATTATGATCTGAAATGCGGAATCTTAGCCGAATGTAGACCGACCATCAGAGCGGGATCTTAGGGGTGACTTTTGTATAGTAAAAATTCTGTTTTCCTAAAACAACGGGATCTTAAGCGAACCGGGATTGTAAGCGGTGGGATCTTAGGCGGAGACTACTGTATTACCAGTTGTACAGTGCATTGGTGAAAACAAGTTATACCACACAGAAATTTGACCTTTATACACTAAACACCTTTTTTAACTGGTTGGACTTCTTTGCTAGGAACTAGGTCTTAATTCCTCTGAACCCAGTTGCGTATCAGGGTTGCAACTAGCTCTAACCACAGGAACCAAAACAGCCCTTATATCTGACTTAAAAGCATTACAGTTTCAGAGTTTTCAATCCACTCTCTGATGCTAATTTAAAGCTTTCTCCTTTAAACAAATGAAAGAAAAAGCTGATCGTGACATTAATTTATGTAATTCTTTCTGCTGTGCCTGTAACAAAAAAAATATTCAATGGTCGTGAAGAACTCTGTTAAAACCATTGTAGGCAGATTCCAGATCAAACAGCATCTGTCTGACTTGAACATCGTCCAGTTCTTCTGATGCTTGCATGTCTCCCAGTGTGTCTAGCCTAAAGGATAAAACAGAGAAAAACAGATATAATTGATAGATGTTTAATTTGCGTATAAATAAAGTTACATCTCCAACTTATGACCTTAACTTCTGTACAGTACAGATTCAGAATCTATGGGACTGGTTGAACAACAATCATATCCATTTGGAAGAACATGTGTTTTAAATTTCTACTAAATTTAGAGAATGAGTTTCTGAATAAGATCTATAACAAATGTTGGGTATGGGACATAACAAGGTTATTGTCCATCCCTGTTTTAAGGGAGCTACCTCCCGTGACTTTAAGACATGCGCAGTAGCGACTAGTGGGGTGAGTAATAAAGTTCACTTACTGTCCAAGATTCGGGTGGTGAGCAGTTATTCTTGTGTTCATGTCAGTTAGAGAAGTGTTCTGGATTAAAGTAAACCCAAAGTAGACAAACATGGTGTCAGATGTGGTGTCAGAAGTGTGTTGTGTTGTGTAAAATTGTGTCTGAAGTGTAGACACATTCACAGGTAAACGTATCAAGAAGAATTTATTACAAACAAGACAAGGTACGTGAGAAAATATCGTTTAACCACGAACCGTCAACATGGCCGTTGTGGCGAGAAAGATTCTGCCGGTTTCGCCTGGCATCAAAATTGAGTAAAGGAGACGGCCAAATCCAGGTTAGTTCTCTTCTCTACGCAATGGAGGCGGAAGCAGAACAAATTTTTGCCCAGTACCAGTTGTCAGAGCAACAGCAGAATAATTTTGACACGGTATTGACAAAGCTGAACAAATATTTCGTCCCCAAAAGAAATGTAATACAAATCTGTGCTACGTTTCACAGAAGAAATCAGAAGGAAGGTGTAAGTGTGGAACAGCACATACGTAGTTTATATGAACTTGCAGAGCATGCACAGTTTGGGGAAAAAGAGGAGACCATCAGGGATAGACAAGTCTTAGGTCTCAACAAAAAGGAGTTATCAGAAAAGCTTCAACTTGAAGGAGATTTAACTTTGAAAAAAGCCATAGATATAGTAACACAACACGAGCAGGTCAAGCAGGAACTCGAAGAACAAAGGTCTGCCAGACAAGAAATAGACAGGGTGCATCAGTACAAAAATGCACAATCCCAGTTTGGAAGAAAGAAATATCAGCCACACACAGAAAAAACCCACTGCGGAAAATGTGGACTATCTCACAACCAAGGGCGTTGCCCTGAAAAGGAAAACAGTGTCACAAGTGCGGAAAAACATCCCATTTTGCCAAGGCGTGCAACCAAAGAGCAACATCCAAGGGATGAGAGAAATTAAAATCAGAGATAGGGACACAGAAGAAACCTTCCTGATAGGGGAAGTGAAATCTTCGAAAAAAAATGCGTGGAGGGTCCAACTAGAAGTGGCGGGACGGCCAGTCAACTTCAAGATTGAAACAGGTGCGGACGTCAATGTCATCGGCAAGGAGACATGGGTCAAGCAAGATAGGAAAACCAAAGTTGTCAAAATGCGACCACGTCAAACTCGTGAGTCCTGGAGGCCGAATTAATAAACTAGGTAGCTTCCAGACGACCATCAAGTCTAAGCCAACGACGATATATGTCATCGGCGGTCAAGCGGAAAGCCTCTTCTGGAGAGGTCCGAAGGATTTCGCTGTTCTAGTTTGGGTTTTATTTCATATAGTTTATTATTTTTCTGCTTTTCCCAGTGGCTCTCCCACAGACTGGAGGTGTACTTTTTGACTTTATTTCTAAAGTCAGTT